TTTAAATTCTATTCTAAATTTGACAGGGAGCCAGTGGAGAGAAGCTAAAACTGGAGAAATAAATAAATAAAAAATAATATAATCTGATTTTCTTAATGCAATAATTGTCTAAAACGACTCGAGTAGGGTATCGATCAGAAACATCCAGGAGGTCAGGGGATCTCTCTGTCGGACAAGAGCAAAGCTAGATAAAWGYTCCAAACTCGTGAGGACAAAACATRCCCTTTCATCAGCATCCCTGCAGTGAAGCACGGAGGTGGCTGCATCAYACTGTGGGGATGTTTAATGTTATTMTTTTACAATAACTATAAATATTTTAAATTGGAATCCAATCTTTATTTGTGTGTTTCAGTGTCTGTCGTCCCTGCAGTTTCTGGAGAGGCTGGACCTGAGCTTTAACCGTCTGCGCTGGCTCCCTCAGGACCTGACCCGGAGTCTGTCCTGCCTCCWGGAGCTCCGGCTGGACCACAACCTGCTGCGGCACGTGGACTCGTCCTCGCTGGCCGACTCGGACAACCTGAGGAAACTGGACCTGAGTCACAACCGGATCCAGACCGTGGATGTGCGCGCCTTCGCCAGCCTGTCTCGCCTGCGCCTGCTGGACCTGCGGGGGAACGAGCTGAACGTGCTCTCAGAGGGTCTGCTGAGCCGCCAGCAGAGCCTGGAGGTCCTGCTGCTCGGACAKAACAACATCTCGGAGATCCAGGCCCAAGCCCTGGCCCCCCTGCGCAGCCTGACCCTGCTGGACCTGCAGAACAACCAGCTGGAGCACATCAAGTTCAAGACCTTCCTGAAGCTGCGGACCACCAGCACCCACCTGCAGATGTCCCTCAACCCCTGGAGGTGCGACTGCGACCTGCAGCGCGTCTTCGGGAAGATCCAGCGCGTCCGACACCTGCACGTGGAGGACTACGGGGACATCGTCTGCCACGCCCCCCCTCAGCAGGCCGGGAGCCCCCTGGCCTCCATGGACAGCCAGCTGTGCATGGCCGAGACCGCCTCGGTGCTCGTCATCACCATCACSGTCATGCTGGCTGTGGTGGGGGCACTGGTCAAAGCAGAGCGCAACCGGAAGAACAAGCAAGCTGCGAGTGATGCAGAGGCTCAGGACAAGTGACACAAAKCTGGTTCTGGGTTCGGCCCGGGACCGGATGCTGCTGGAAAACAGTGAAAGGCCAATAAATCTTGATCTTACAAGATAAACAGAATTATTGTTTGCTACAAAAGACTGAATCAGAAAACATCAGCTAATCTTGAAGAATGGAAACTTGTGCACCTGAGCAGGGGGCTTGTGGAGTTACGATAAGGAAGGATTCAAAGCAAAGCGTTGCACTTTATACAGAGCCCAACTGAAGGGTTTKAATGTGAACAAGGATTTAAAAGCCTATGTTCACTTTGAAGGTGAACTGGTTTTAGTAAGTCAAATTTAAGATTTTTAAGACCTTTTTAATAAAAACTTGAATGAAATTTAAGACAGAAAATATGTGACCCGTCATATCGAAATGAGGATTAAGTCAAATTTGGTCAAAATGACCTAATTACATTTACAGATTTTGGTTTTAAAAGCTACATTTTGATACCTGGATCATTCTGATATCATAATTAAATCCATTTATATGACTTAATTTGTCTTGTTGGTTGCAATAACA